TCAGCGTTCGATTTTTAATACATATTTATATATTATAACACCCCTAAACACAAAGTTCAATTTAATAAATGCAGTATTTCGTCTTTCAAGACAAATTCCTTGTTTTTTGTGAAAAAATAGGCGTTAAAACGGCGTTGAAAGCTATTCAGATAACGGATATCTCCTTGAACCACAAGCAATGTGATGATGGTATACTTGACTTTTTTACTTATACAAAGACGAGGTGTGCCGATTAAACACAACTTCTAGCTAATGCATGTAGCAATATAAGGGGTTTTGAGCCAACAGGTCCAGAATGTCGTTCACTAAATAAATTATGACTGAACATTAAAGCAGAAACAAAAGTCCTATTGAATCACTTATATTCTGTAATTTGAACATGCCCCCATGTACATATTTCGAATAAAAAGATATTACATGCAAATGTGACGTTAACTTGTAATGTATAAAAAACATTCAATTTTTTTTCTTTTAAAATTAAAATCTTAATTAACAACAACACAAAGGAAACTCCTTGACAACCCGAATGTTAAAACAAATACCCGGTTCTTTAGAACATTTGTGTAAATCAATTCTTCACACTTTTTTTAATGTAATATTTGAAAACTATCTGAACTTACCTACTCTGTCAAAACGGGATTTCTTCTAAGGCTGCAGAGAAAGTAACCCAATCGCTGTTTTTAATAGCAATAAGGCTGGTTTACAAATTATACTGTCATTAAAGAGTTAAATGACCTACGCTTAGTGAACATTTGAGAGAATAAGGACCGTTCCAGTGTCCTCTGTCACGCAACAGACAAATTAGTCATTTATCGATGGTATCCTACATGCACTTTAAGGAATTCCAAAGTCTGGTTTGACTTGTATACTTCCTTGGTAGGACTGAAAACACTCCCACGCCTATTAGCGGTAGGCTGAATTACCCCATCTTTATACATTTCCTTTCATCTCTTAATTAAGGCAATATATACAGACTTGTGGAAATATATTTTTTTCCAAATCAGTTTTGTTTGATTTTTTGTACTTTTACGACTTGTATAAAGTGATTCTTGTTTTAATAGCATTTTTAAATTTTATTATTTAAATAATCCTTTCATTCTAATTGTGACATCAGTGACATTGTGATTGTGTTGAATTCATCTAATTAAGCAAACAAAAATACATTGCTGATTCTTAGTCAAGCCACAACCATTACAAGCAGTATATATATATATATATATATACATATCACAACAGAACGATGTGTGAGGCATTCCATCTATCACAACAGAACGATGTGTGAAGCAGTCCACCTATCAGAACAGAACGATGTGTGAGGAATTCCACCTAATATAACAGAACGCTTTGAGGAATATCTCACCCATCACGACAGAACGATGGGCGAGGAATTCCACCTATCACAACAGAACGATGTGTGAGGAATTCTACCTATCACAACAGAACGATGTGTGAGGAATCTCACCTGTCACAACAGAACGATGTGTGAGGAATTCCACCTATCACAACAGAACGATGGGCGAGGAATTCCACCTATCACAACAGAACGATGCGTGAGGAATTCCACCTATCACAACAATATGATGTGTGAGGAATCTCACTTGTCACAACAGAACGATGTGTGAGGAATTCCACCTATTACAACAGAACGATGGGCGAGGAATTCCACCTATCACAACAGAACGATGTGTGAGGAATCTCACCTATCACAACCCACAGATGTCAAGACAAGCAACGGAGGTAATCGGCCAGTAGAGTGACTCCTCGGCTTCAAGCTGTTCTGGTGGTGCCTCACACTTACTCTCCACCAAGAGAGTAACAACTTCATGTTTTACTTTTATTACAAATTCACGGTTAATATTTTACACGCGCGCCACACCCTCTGTGGGACAAGTGAACATTTTTAAAGGCAGATACCTTATTTTCTGTCACACACAAGTTATTTTTTCTTTTTTTTATTATGAATGAGGTCTTTATATTTTCTATAGATAATTGGACAATGTGGTATGGTGGGAAATAAGAGTCTCTGAACATTTTGATGGTCATTCAATGATTTAACATTTTGTCAGGTACCTGAATTTTCGGTTATAAGTCATTGTAATACATAAACGGCAGTGCCAGTTACTATACATGTAGTACAACATTTGAACTAGCATGCTTTTTGTCGTAACATTACCAAGATAAAATCATTCTTGTTTTTATAATTACACGTAACTCGAGGTAAATGGACACGTTGTCAAGTTAAGGGAAATGAAAGTAACAATTGTGCTCTCGGATTGTTTTGTTTGTTAGGTTTATTGAGTTGCATTAAGCGTTCCATTCGGTACAAATATCACTTTATCTTTAATAAGATTACTTAATTACCCCCAACCCACGACAGAAGGCTAAATTAAAACTTAATTTTTTTTTTTACAATCAAATACTTTCATTTGGTGCAGATAAGCAAGAAGTCAAATAATCAAAAGTTTTCAGTTACAAGAATCAATGAGGTTTTACAGAAGCAACTGCGACAAAATTACCTCCTACTACGATGGACGATACTTTGTTTAATGCCAAACTTTTAACCTTACTTTAAAAGGCCACGTAAAATAAAACTTAAACCAGAACCAAAGGTAAATAAATGAACTTTAGAAGCACCTATGTTGACTGCGTTCACATGACTCTGACTTCAGCATCGCATCCAGCTCTTTCCGCCTAAGCTACGTCCCCCGCCCATTCCACCAAAGCCCATTCCACCAAAGGGGCCTGGAAGTCGCCCTCCTAGTCCAAGAGAGCGGGAGAAGTCAGCTGAAATGAATAAAGACGGCTTACAATATATGTTCTGTCCCATATTTGTAAAATTAAATAAAGCTTACCCGTAAGTCGAAGTTTTATTGAGATTCTAGCTACTAGTATACGCAAATGTACGCCCCGAAGGTCTTAACAGGAATGAGTCAGTCACTCTCCTACATGCAAATATCTTAAAGACATCGGCGTGTGACATCATGAACAGCAACCAGGATATAGGTGACAAAAAAAGACAAGGTGTCAAGAAACAACGTTCAAATACGTTTGGCTTTCCCAGAATCAAACGGATATGTCTTTTTAAGAGTGTTGAATGTGATGCAGTAGAGTACAGAAATTCGCATCCACACTTTCAGTTTTCACAGTCACGAGAAAAATTGTCTCGCCACCGTACTAAGTGCCACATGGTGGTTAAAATCTGCAGTAAAAGGCATCGGGTTATCTTTCTCTTATGTTATCAAATAGACCACAGTTACAAGAATTTACTCATATAAAAAATACTTACGTAGACAACAAAAGACAAAACACGCTCGTCGGTTCACTAGGTCACCCATGCATGGTTTTCCACCATTTTCCGGTGCCGGAGAGGAGCAAGTGCGCGTGCGTGAACAGGTGCACGAATTTACGTTGCAGGCTGACCAGTCGGACCAGTTTGACCAACCGCCATCGGCTTAAAAGTGAATGGCATTATTACATGTAAAATAAAAGTCTTGACTTGAGGTTATTATCAGATTGCCACGTACTACTACTACTACTACTACTACTACTACTACTACTACTTTCCTCTATTATTATTAAAATAATATTATGCGTTCTTTAAAATGTATATAAATAATTGAAGAAAAAGCACTTTAAATATTCCAAATGGAATTATCCAACTCTGTTTTTTTTTCACATTGGACATGATAATACTTCTTTATTCTTATTTTTATATTCACCATTTTTAGTATCATCATGCTATTACATGTACATGTATCGTTCTTATCACTTTAACCATTCTTGTTCTTATTCTTCTTACTATAATGGCCACCAGGTATGTTTGAACACCATATACAATCAGTCATTAACTTTCATACGTAGGCCCTACATGTAGGTTCTTACTAGGACATGGCTGTGTGTTACACATCTCCTCTTCAATACCACTTCCAACACAGTCTGCGCCGCCATTGGCTGGAGCGGGGTTGCTGCACTGCCTAGTGCGCGTGCGCTGACCTCCTCCACAGGTGGCGCTGCATGCTGACCATGAGCAACACCAGTCTCCCCATTGGCCGTCAACTGTAAAAAATGTTAGAAAGTTAGACATGCATGTACGTTGACATCATTTCAGCAATGAACATACGTTTTGGTTAGGGTTAATTTTAATTACAGTTTTGTCGCCATTTCTCTCTGTTTACTTTATTTATTTATTATTATCATTATTTATTTAATTTAATTTTATTTATTTATTTATTTATCTATTATTATTATTATTATTATTATTATTATTATTATTATTATTATTATTATTTTAGTACTCCAGGGTTGTAAAGTGCTGCGGGCCGAGGTGTGTGGGGGGTTTTGAGAATAAGATTTTGAGTATCTTTGTAAACTGTTCGCCGTTTCTCCCTGTCCACCATTACTTTTTCTTTAGCTAACATCAAGTACAGTACCGTGGGCGACTACATTTACTTGGAAATATTAAGCTGTCAACAGCTACCAGTAAAATCAGTCTGAGGTCCTATGCGCTCTCTATCCCTCTCTCTCTCTCTCTCTCTCTCTCTCTCTCTGTGTGTGTGTGTGCGTGTGTGTGTAGATCTAGGAACTATGTCACACTTTTTGACATTTTTTTATATACCTGTAAATCAAAGTGTAATCACTTACCGGGACAGCCCTGGTCGTTACAAGCCTGTATCTCAGCTGAGGGGCCCTGGCAAGGCTGTCCGTCACCGGCCACTGGGGGGCTGTTACAGCTGCGTGTGCGGATCTGTTCTCCGCCTCCACAGCTGCGAGAGCAGGCGCCAAAGGCAGACCAAGGACCCCAGGCTCCGTCGACTGTAAATGACGGAATGTGAGAAGAACGTACAAACAAAGAAATTTTGAAGGTGACAGGAAAATAGTGTTTTTTTTTTCAGAACATCTCAAAATACGAAATGAATGAGGAGGAATTTAGACATTTGCATAAAGACTGAGGATATTTTTGAAATAAAAACACCAAATATGCAGTTTAAGATTCCCAGAAAAGAACAAAATCCACAAAAAAATTAAAACCGTTTATAAACCTATAGTTATTTGAGAAAAAATATTGTGATTTTGAGTATATATAACATTGTCAGCCTTGTTCACATGTACTAAAAAGAAAAAAGGGGGTTGTACATGTACATTCAGTCTCGTGAGTGATACAGTATGAACCAAAGAGCAAGGGTTTGGGATTGGATGGCAAAACACTCTAATGCTAACACCAAAATTACGAAAGCAACATAATCGCCCTCGTTCACCCTACCCACCTGGACAATTGTTAGTATTAAATTAAACAACCAGGATCGTTTTCTCACCTGGGCAGGGATCACGATTACAGGACCGGATTGCCACCCTGGGCGTGCAGTCACAGCAGTCCATGGATCTCCGCTGAATACCGCCTCCGCATGGCGCGTCACAGGGACTCCAGTCACCCCACTTACAGTCCGCTAATGATGACAAATATAAATAGGATGATACGAAAAAAGTAATAAAATGCTTTGAATGAGACTGTACGCGTGTTTCTGCCTGTGAGACAAGATGATTCGACGCCTTGCTAAATAGTTTTCACTACGTGAATAAAGTAGGCTTTTCGTATTTCACATTCGTTCTTTGTTGTTTTCTATACCTATTTTATATTTCTGCTTTCATTTATCGAGCATATTGGTTTTGAACAAATATGGCAAGTTTGGCCAAAATCATTTGATTATGTAACTAAATGAGACCTTTCGTATTTGGTAATCGTACTTTTTTGTTTTCTGAACCTGCCTCATGTCTTTGTATTCATAGACCCATTTCATTATTTTTTGTGAATTTATGAAAACACCTGACCCTGACCGAATATGGTGAAAGCATAAGCAGACTAACCTTCTGCTGGTGTCGTAGCTGTAGTTGTCGTGTCAATATCTAGACAGAAAAGACGTTCGATTATAATTTGTTTAATTGGCAATCAATCAACTATCTGGTAGTTGTGATTAGCTTTATAAGATAACGATGTAGTCTAATATACATGCACTGGTAAGACCTGTTCTTCAGTTTCGGTATTATTTACAGATAAGGGAATACACAGACAAACAAAAATCAGCTCCCGGTGTTAACATTACTACCATAGTATTCCAACATTTATTTTTATAATTACTTTTTTAAACAATGTGCAAGAAACTTGCTTGTTTAAAGATTATTACTATTGGGTACCATGTAAGCACTTTGGATTGGAAACTTTCCGGTTTAAACAGACTCATTGGCAACAATGTTATATACAAAGGATTCCCCTGTGGTGCGGGATCCGTTACCCCACCAATTTCTACATGTTCGCCCCGTCCTAAAATTTGGCCCACTAACGTCACGTTAACCCTAACCTGTATGAATCCAAAAAAGGGACGTGTCTCTGTTACACACACTATCAGTTTCTTTTAGTTTCACAACTCACCAGCACAAGACGAGACACCTATGTTCTGCGCAATATCGACGAGTTCGGCAGTGCTTCCCACGGAGAAGACATTCGCCTGTCGTCCTTGTGCTATCTCCAGGAGTTGGGCGTCATCTATACCGGGCCCAGCCCCTACAGCAAGAGACTTTACCCCGGAGAGGGCCATACGGCGCGCAGCCTCCACGATTGTGATTTGTCCTGTGATACGTCAATATAAATGCAATAAATTAATCGATGATCAAAATAAAAACATAGATAGGACAAACAGGAACAATTGTATTTATAAGCTTTACTGTAAGAAGATGTGGTAAAATTCAAACTTTTTTTTTTCTTTGTTTTAGATAATATTGCCCACTTGTCCTGAAAAACAAATATGTTTAGATTCTGTGTAAATGTCATTTTATTTAAAAGGTCTATGTGCGCGCTGAATCTAATATCATAAAAGTATTTGAAAATTGCTAATATTTTTGTATCTCTAAACAATTATTCATGAGGCATTGACCTTCATTAGCCACTCCATCAGTCAGAACGATGGCGACTGCAGCGCTCCTGTCTCCTGGTGGCCGGGGACCGTAGACGGGGTTCGTAAGGGCCTCCCGACACAACTCCATCGCATCCGGAATATTCGTCCTTCCTTTGTAGAACGGCAATGCGGCGATTCGTGCATCCAGGGAGGCGAGGGACTGATCCACGTTGAAATCAAAGATTAGGGAGACGTTGGTAGCGAAGATGACGGCGGCGTAGCGGGCCTGTACGTCCTGGCCAAAACTGGCAATTTCTCGCATTAGCGCCATTACAAAGTTCTTCTCGTCTTGCAAACCGGCCTCCGTGAGACTATTAGAAGAATCGATGGCGAAGCAAATATCTGGCTTACAGGCTGTTGTTTGAGTTGTAATCAAAATAAAGAAAAAAAAACATCGCTTGATATTTTGCATTTAAGTAGTTGTAGTACCTACGGTTGCAATCTACTTTATAACTCGGTACTTTGCGCTATACACAAATCATTTGATTTGAAAATGTCCCGACTGTTCTACACGTAGTTTTTTTTTTTTTTTTTTTTTTTTTTTTTTTTTTTTTTTTTTTTTNATTTTGTTTTCTTTGATGTCTCTGGACGTAGTCCTTTTTTATGATTCATACCAAACAGGAGATCCATGAGTACCAACAGGGTGTGTTATATACTCTTCTTCATGGTTGTAAAACAATTCAAAGTGTGATGCTTATAAAAGAACTAATTAAGACGTGAATAAAAGTAATGAGATTATTCAGTCCCTAAGTACTGTAGACTGTAGATTCTTCCAAGAATAGGGTGATTTTTTCCCCTCAATGGGCGCTGGATGTGAATTTCACCCAAGGCTGCGGTGACAGTAACCCTACTGCTGTGCTTAGTATGGATCGCAGTAAATGCTGCCTCAAAAATGACCATGTTATTTCAGACTCCATTCTTGACGCGGTCTACGTGGGTCGATCCCACTCTGCAGGGACTCTCGTTAATTGCAATGAGTTGGGTCGATCCAAGCAGACCAATGGGAATATAGGCTTATTAGCATTTAATGTCCTTACGCTTGGTGAACTTCAGGGCAAATAAATGCACCCCATCATCTTTTTAATGACTGCGCATAACGCCTGTACTATAGGCCCCTGTCACACGAATGCGGCCGTATTTAGTGGGCGAATCAGTAGGCACTCGGATCATCCATCCTGAATGGGGCCTAAGACAATTCCAATACGCTACTTTACGCTCACAATTGCGAAAATGTTCCATTCATTCGACTGATATATTATGTGACGCACATCCGTCGAATGAATAACGGATTCAACACATCCTATCCGTAGGCAATACTCTTGCAGAGCGTATTCAGGATGCACCCGACGGATGCCGACGAATGCGAATCGTATTACGTTGGTATTCATATTATATCTGTGCCGTAAGTTTGTACGCCACGTATACATACTAAGCACACCCAGTATACGCCAAGTGTATTAATAGCTCGTGTCAGAACTTCAGTTTATAACTTCACAGTACGTGCATTCATCAAATACTTTTCCTTTGGCCGAAATCATAACCATAACCACATAAATTACAGTAAGTGCACAGATCTATTCTTAGTTGACGCTGTTACAGAACACAGCAATTAATATTACTGTCAGGCAAACCTGAGAAGCAATTATTCAGAATTTAAAATGTATTTACTTTTGTGTTAAAACCATATATTTTGCCACTATATATGTTCATTGCATGAGATCCTCAATGCAGCGAATGAGAATAATTGCGATTATGAAGACAACTATTTATTGCAATGTTCAATAAAATAAAGTCAAGCATTACATTACACTCAGCATCATTTATATTAGCCGCTATTGCCTAAGTATCGCTTGGAAAACGATTTTTGGGATACTTTTACAACAAAAAATCTGCTGTATCTAAAGTTCATGAGCGCTGATGTTGACTATCTGCTATTTCCCAACTTTGAAGAGGTGAGACAGAGCCAAAATTGGCTAATATTATTACATGATACAAAAGAACCTCTGGTGTAATACATCTGATAATACAACTTATCTACCTATTCCTGTCATAAGCTCGTTTAGGCTTGGAATACCAATTCTCTAATGTCTTGGTGTCCCTAGTAGTTGCATTTTGTATGTTAAGCAGAAAACAGACAAGAAAAAAAACGTGTCATCTTTTTTTTTTTTTTTTTCTGCAACAACTTATCTCAAGTAATGTTGACTCCGCTTGATTTATAAAATAATGTTAATTTTTCTTTGAGGAATGTTGATCACAGTAGCTTTCTTTTATCGCGGAATGTACGGTAGATTGCACTGACTCCTTTTCAGTAATGTTGACCTCACTGCATGGTTTTATCATGGAATGTTGACCTTACTGCATGGTTTTATCAAGGAATGTTGACCTCACTGTATGGTTTTATCAAGGAATGTTGACCTGATAGCTGCATTATTTTATCATGGAATGTTGGACTCATTGCATGGTTTTATCATTGAGTGTTGACCTCACTGCATTATTCATCAAGGGATGTTGACCTCACTGCATGGTGTAATCGTGGAATGTTGACCTCACTGCATTGTTTTTATCAAGGAATGTTGACCTGAGAGCGGCAATGTTTTATCACGGAATGTGGAACTCACTGCATGGTTTTATCATGGGATGTGGACCTCATTAGTTTTATCGAGGAATGTTAAACCCACCGGTATAAAGGAGGAATGTTGGTCGCACTGTTCTTTTTAACCAAGAATATTGAACATTTGTGATTTATTGATTAGGAGTTCCAAAGGTATCGACGCTTGTCACTTTTTCAGATGCGTAATAGAGCTGCAACGACAAAATAGAAAAACAACATGGACACATGGGTCACTCACTTTTCTCTGAATGACATTTTGATTAAGTCCCTTAAAATTCAAGAACAAATAACACGAAATATAATAATAATAATAATAATAATAATAATAATAATAATCTCAGCAAACCAAAACAAAAGAAAGATAAAAAAAGGTGAACTTCCTGGCTTAAGGGGTTCATGTCTATACATATGTATATGTATTAAAAAGGTTCATTACAATGTACTGGTAGAAATTGGCTTTTTCAACGCTCTTTTACCCAAGTTCATTGAACATTTGTTTCATTTGACATACGGAAAGAACAGGCAATAACTTACGTCCCGGGTATCATCATAGAACGCGGTCACCACGGGATTAGCGTCAGCCCTACATGTGCCGTGTAAAGGAGAATAGTCCACTACCACACAGGCCGGGAGGCGTACGCAGAACGCTAAACACTCCAGCACTGTCGGGCCCCCTTCTGTAGGGTGCACGTATTGTTGAGTGTTCGCAGAGAGCAGGCGGCGGCTGGGTGCTTTCACGAACAGGTCAGACCTTGTCCTGCCAGCCTCCCGAGAAACTGAAAGTGTTGATGGAATGATTAAATGTGCAGACAGATCCATGTTTAAATGTTTTGTTTCAAGGGTTAGGTGTCGGGGTGCAGTGGGCCAAGATTCCCCCTTCGTTTTACACACCACCCCGCTCACAAAATAAATAAATAAATAAACATTATAATACGTGACACGAGTTAAAATCCAGCAACAGGTAACCTGATCATTTCCGTGATATATATTCTACGTTTACCAGTAAAAAAGGAGCCTATTATTATTATTATTTTTGTTTTTAATTAATTTATTTATTTTTTGCTTTAGAAGGCAAAAATTGTTTTGATTTTTCAAGATCAACCTCAATTTATTTTTGGCCTACTCTTTTCAACAATACTGGCTACCACGCAAACAGTTGTATTGAAATGCAATTGAACTGAAAACATGCAATGGGCATGAGACCTCAATCATGCGAAAATGTCTTGGAATTTCAGCAATTCCCTTCTTAACGACAAAGTGTTCCCTATTTTAAGTTATATGTAGCATCCGTATTTTTACCGTCACTTGTCCCTTTCTCTAACGAAAGTGTTTCGGATGCAAAAACCCGTTACATTTCCTGTGCATTTTTTACTGTACTACAAATACTTGTATGAAGAGTGCATGGATATTTGTACCGCACAGTTAAAGATTACCTGATGTATAAGTCATGCAGAACACCATGCAAACGACAATCCAAATCTTATAGAGCCGTTTGCCATCCATATCGAATTGATTCGGCATCTAGTTCCACTAAAAAAATCGTCGAACGGGTTGTTTCTCAACTCTTGCTTATGGAACAGTATACAATATAGGAGTATGACGTATTCTCTCCCTCGTCTAAGAGCGATCACTTGCCTTTTGATCGATTCTATTGTAACAGTTCCTTCCTTGCTGGCTTTAGCTGGCTTTATGTGTGACTATCGATACCGTGTGCAAAGATAGCGTGATTTATATACCGGGGTACCAGTTACATGAGCAATGAGGGTGAGTGAATTCACATGATTAAGGTAGATTGGTACCTACATGCACATGTTCTACCTTTGCAAATTTTAATTTTTTTTTTCTTGTTTGAAGAGGCATCCAAATACATCAAAAGTTTGCAAAATAATGGTGGTCATTGACCAGATAAGATTACTAGGCCCAAGTTCGTTACTCCCAGTGTATCGCACTAGTGCCACTGAAATCTATGGGAAAGCGGGTATTCCTTTAGTAACTTGTTATTTTTAATAATGTTTTAGCGAATGCATTTCAAATATTAATGATTATTCTGCGTTTATAAGACTTACCAGACTCTCGCTCTCTCTCTCCCTATATATATCCATAATGTGAAGGTACAAAAAGTAGAAAACATTTGAAACTAAAAATACGTGCATGGATCATAATTCTGATTGCAGCTTTGGATATGGTATATCTTGTTTGTTAAAAATAGTTGTTGATGTCTAATTTTTTTGTATGAAAGAACTAATGCTTATGTATATTGTGCGCTGTCATGTCAGGTGTGATGTACAATGTATAACTAAAAACCCAAACACCGTGACCACAAATGTTTTAACGCTACATAAAATAGAGTGGATGAATCATGGTTATCCGATAGTTATTGGACGTGGAACAATTACCTAATGAGGATTGCAATTATGATTATTAAATCTGTAAATATTTATGCTGTTATCTTGACGACAACTGTATTGCCAATTCATTTCATGTTTTCAACCGTGCACCTTTACGTACAGCGTTGAAAGCAAAAAAGACTCAAGTTGCCCCGTTGTCTACTTCGTGATAACAATTGCACATCACCGGTGCCCTCCAACCTTTCTACAAACCATGAGAGGGTCCGTTGGGGGAATGATCGATGTTCACGGGAAATGAAATCACCAATTCACAAAACAGTAAATAAAAATTCATTCATACGTGTTTGACACTGTAGTACGTTTCGATAATCCTGAAAATCACGAATCCCCGGATATAATTACTTTGAGAATAACAAAGACTAAAGATTTGCATTCACGTGTCAGGGGAATGGGGTGTTTCACGGATCACGGTAAATAATATGAACCTTTAACGCATCTTGGGAAATAAATAGTGGCTTTCACGGATAACAAAAACACCCAATGGGACCTTGTATAGGCAGTATGACGGCAGACACTGTATCTGGCAGCTGCCTGGGGAACACTATAACGCCTCCCTCCGTCGGATAAATGGTCTGCATGTGCTGTTGCTTTGTAAATGTCACCATGGAAACTATTTGGTAGCTAGTGTGACGTCACACATTCGATGGCACCCTTAACAGTACACATGGTCGGAAAGGCATCACTTGTGAAGCGAGAGATAATCGGTAAAACAGTATTTTATCAAAAGATTCCGATTCCCCGAGAACACTATCCACAAAATATATCATAGTTACACCCTGTTTTAATCTTTCAACATTTTGTTCTTAAATTTAGTTCCGGTTTACAAATAAATTCGACCACTACAGCACGGTCCAATGGTTACATCGTATGCAGCAGGTCCACAGCATTTCAGAAGCATTGTGTTAGGTGTGATGGGCACACCGAGCAGTCACTACTACCAGAGTGCACGTGCGGCTGCGGACGGGACTACTTCCGGTTTAAAAAACAGGGCGTTCAGCCTGGATTCAGACAACCTCATTAATAAAGCGAATAGATGCTAATTATATTTACCACATATTTATTATGTTCAAGTCCGTGCCGCAGACCGGTTTATTTTCCGGCTCTCTCTACCCAAATCTTTTAATTTCTTGCTTTCTTCTGTCTGTTCAAGAAAAATTCATGTACATGAACACCTGTAGGCGCCTAAATGATTTTCTAGTAAGTCATATTGTCAATTACCGTTTCAAAAAGTACCTGAAGTAAGAATCGTTAATTTTTACGCTTCACGAAGAATCAAAAACACCTACCATTATTACCTCGTTTTTTTAACCAAGCCCCTACAGGGTATGACAAATAGCGGTAGTAATCGTCTCAAATATGACATTTTGTACCAGAGATTATAGTAGCTCGTCCCCTGTATTTAAACTGCATTAAATGCCTGTAACGAACAACCATCGCAAAGTGGACTCAACGTACGAAGTACGTAGGAAACTAAGAGATTTAAGCTGTATAAACTACATTTACATGTAGCACAAAAACTTAAGTCCTTTTGAAAACATTGTCAAGAGTTCCATCTGAACTATTTATCGTAGAGCGTGCGTCTTAATACCCGCACTGTCAACGCTATTAACGTCATGCGTCAGGTGTCTAAGGACGTGTCCTCATAAAACGACTCTCATGAGAAGATGTCACACAGGTGTGAAGGCGTCTTCATTAAGGACATGACGTGTCCCCTGACCACTCTCAACCGGTAACCGCGAGCACACCGGACGTTGTAATATTAATGAAATATTATCACAAGAATAGGATGCTTACGTGACCGTCCCGGGAGAAGATAGCAACCTATATGAGTGGTTTTGATGACAGGACAGGGTTTTTATTCAAAAATGAGAAAAAGTCATCAGTTTCGAGTACCTTAATTTCGGTTTTGTAGTTTCTTTATTAATTAATATATTTCAGTTCAAGAGTTTTAACAGGTTTGAGACAAAGTTGAAAAATGCACCAAGAAATTAAGACAATGACCCCAAACACCAAAATAATTTGTATTAGTTGTTTAGAGGCATGTTGGAATTTAGACGCAGACATACACTGTAATGTACCTAGCATCAAAAATATTTGCTTGGAATACAAAGGGTTTAATCAATCTATTTGATTTTAAATTTAAATACAGACATAAACCTCTACATGTACACCGGTAACAAAGCCTTTTCAACAGCAATGCAGAGCATAAAAACGTATTTTACCTGACTTATACTCGTGGAAATCGGAAAAATTCTCAGATCACAGAAGTTTTCGTTTAATACTTTGAATGAATATAATAATAAAGTACTATCTGATCTTATCTATTAAAAAAGAAAAAAATAAAGGAAAAAAGTGAATATAAAGTATATAAACCATTCCATTCAATGAGTTTATTTGCATTTATTATTAGTCAAAAGAGGTCATATTTAAGCACCATTAATACAAAAGAAGTATATTTCTCATTCTTTGTACTCCATAAACACCAAATGATTTCCCGCAAAACATATTATTTAGCACGATGTCACCAATTAAATGAGAGTGACTATCAACTTACAAAATGTTTGTTAAAAATTCAACACGAATATGGTTCAGTTCAAAATTTACTTCCAGTTTATTTAAAAAGGTTTTCATTATTGCGGATACTCTGCTTCATGTCAGGTGCATTACTCATGCCACTTATTGTAGAAGTCTCCAAGCAGTGACCTCCTTGCGTCGAAGTATTCCGTGACCACAGATGATACGAAATGTCCCAACCCTGTTGAAATTCCATATGCTTTTGTCTGTGTTTGGGCATGTTGACAATATGATGAATTTAACGCAATTAAACAGACCATGTGGCACTCGGTACTATTCTATAAGATAAAAAACAACGCCTTTTACTTATCAAAAGAACCATTGCGTGCATCGAATTGTAATGTTATAAAGTTAATATAAACGTACGACCGGAAGATGGCACAATAAAAAGTCGCATTGAAAAGTTAATTATAAATTCATATATATTTTATTGAATGTCCCTGTTTCAGCATAGCAAAGAGATAACACACTAATAATTCCAAAGCGACACGTACGCATCCAAACAAGTCAGGATACTGAACGTGTACAGCCACAAACATTTAAGTTGCGGTCTTCTTTGTTCGTGCAGTGATTAGAATTAAGAAAATAATGATTAATCGTCTTACAAAACTGTACCACTTAATACATAAACAATCCATATATACCTTTAAAATACTGAATTATAGCGTTATTTATTAAACTGATGCACGTATAGTCAATCCTAGCGTCTCTCATTATGCGAAATGTACAATGCAATGATCCAACAAAAATTCATGTATGGTCTCTTGCGGTCTACCTGTCGGAATATACATTGCATTGTCTTTATTCCATTCATTCATTTGTTCTGCAGTGGTGTAACGGATATTGAAATGAGAAAATTAGACATGAACACTGAAATTGACAACTTTGAAATAAAAAGTGAAACCAAATGTCTCATAAATAATAATAATAATAATAATAATAATAATAATAATAATAATTATTCTTATATGGCACATTCCGTTACAAATCTCAATGCACCTTAAAATTGCTTTTAATTTAAAAGCTAAACATCACAATTTAAAAGAACTAAATATCTCCATTTAACAACTCTAGATATTACAAAAATATATATATAAATATTTAAAGTGACAACGGTAAGAGATAAAATGGCAAATTAAAACTTAACTATAAAATAACTGATAAAAATAGCTGATATATAGCTTATAAAAACAAAGTTTATAACATATATATATATAGTTTATAAATAATCTAAAAATTTAAGCTCCAGGGTGTAAATGTATATTTTCTCTCAGAGGAAATATATCACTTACAGCAAGCTTAAGTTCATTTAGGGCTATATTGTTTGCAATATGATGTCATATATTCAAAAGGACAATATGTTTTGGTTTCACACTACCGCAAAATGGGGATATGACAAAACAAGAAAAAGTCATAATTTTGAAATGCGGCTTTTAACACACTTAAACTAACAATTGAAATTGACGTCAACCGCCCTTCTTTGTCCCTTGGCAGCCACAGAGACAAGTTCAGTGGAAGAACAACGCGCATAAATATTATGAATATTAAGTGTCTTCCCGCTTGAGTAGGTAGGAGAAGAGGATAAAAGCCAGAGTCGACACTTGGCTGTCACACTGCTTTCTAACCGTAGACGTGTCCATAGCTGAAAGGTAAGAAGAGATAGTTACACCAGGCAACTTGAGGCCTCTGACCAGAAGCTTATCATTTTCAGTGTTTCGACTGTATTTTTTTTTCTAGCAGATAAGACATCGGTGTTTTGGGATGTTAAGGGGGGGGGGATGATAAGGGTTTTTTTGCCCTCTACATAATGCATTTAGCAGTCACCTTAGCAATAGGCCATTAGCCGTGATAAAAGAGGGAACTCATCAACAGGCACGGTTTTTAGGACTTGTTATGGCATATAAGAGCTACATAAGCTACTTGATAGACTTGCATACAGTTACATGAATCACATTGAGAAGTATAAAAAAAGAGATGATGCGATTGCGTAGTGCTAATTTTTGTCCTGTGGCTGAAAAAATGCAGCAAGTTTAATTGCAAGTTTCATTGTTTTTCTTCAGTAAGGGTAAATAATATTTCAAATAACGAATGCAGCAAGTTTTACAGTGGTACCTTTGGCAGAAGCTTTCTTTAATGTGCTTTAGAAAAGGAATGGAACATTATTTTCACTTTCAGTGAAGAAAGGAAAACATTAAAACTTTAAATGATACTCAACGTTTGCATTTCAGATCACAATGAAGATCATACTCGTGTGTCTTGCCCTGGTCGGCGCCACCTACGCTCAGCATTTATCGCGGGGTAAGTTTTGAACAGCCATTACATTTTATAATCGATGTGGACCCGATCAGTCATTGTTTGGATCTAGTTATTTAGCAACGGTGATCGGAGATACAAAATGGCCATTATATATTTAGACGTTATGTTTCGTCCCAAACTATATATTCATTACCTACAGTATTAATGGCATTAATTATGGGTGGAGATATCTTATGAACACGACTATCCATAAATATTTCTAGATGAAGTCGAGAGAAGATGCTTGGTTGACAAACCAGACGTGTCACAAGGTGTCGCCTACGTCGCAGATCTCGATTGCGCATTTTTCTGGCAGTGCGACTTCGCCTACAACCTACTGAAAAATGTCACCCTCAAAGTATGCCCAATCGGAACCTTGTGGGCCTCCCGCGCCAGCGCAGAAACCCCGCCAGCAGTGGGCCAGGAGCGAGTGGTGTGCATCAGCTGTGAGATGCAGAACGACCCTACCTGTCAGGCCCAGCACCCCGAAGGATCGGCACAGTGCCCACTGCGTACGTATCACTTTAAACCCCGTTTTTGTATTATTTACCAAGGTCACAGTCATTATTGTTTTCACTTTTGGCTCACTGATATTTCTGCGACGGTTCAGTGAACATTTTGTAACAAAAACTTGATAATGGTCTCTCTACCTTTTTACAGTTGAAATGACTTTTTCTATTATATTATATTATATTATATTATATTATATTATATTATATTATATTATATTATATTATATATTTCAGCTCCACCACCTGTAAGTACCACAACGGAAGCACCACCAGCTCTTGGAGACAGTAAGTTTTTGTTACTTTATTCACCATTCATCTATAAGTCTACAGATTAATCAATATTAATAATTAATATAATAAGACGGTTGACCTCGTGGTCAGATTATCTGCTTCCGGAGCGGGAGGACGTTACATAGATCTTGCCTGAGGACAACCCAGCCCACTTATAAGTCACCCCTTTTGTGGATAGTAAGTCTGTCTTTCGAAAAAAAAACTGGACTAAGAAAACATTATTTGGCCTTAACTAGTCTGAAATTTGTTATTTGAATATATTTTTTAAGGCAAACGGTTCTTTATTCTAGTTGTTTTCGAGTTTGGTCAGTTTGGCCTCAACTCGAGACTTATTTCAAAACATCTTCACTGATACTCCTCACTTAAACCGTAAGAAAAGCGTGTTCAGGGAGCGTCCAACTCATCCGGCATCTTTGTCACTCTGAGGTTTGATGTTGATGGCGTCATGTCAGTCACATCAGGAACTGGAGACCTGTCCAATACGCATGTGATTTAAACTTCGATGACGGCCTAATACAACATTGGCAGACGATTGCAGGGGCGGATCCAGAGATGTTTTCTGACAGTCTTCCATATTATATTTGTTGATCCATTCTCAATTTTTTGACCGTCTTCCGACAGAAAAAAATTATATACCCGTCAATGTAAACTTGAAAATCTGACCGTCTTCCGGAAGACCCAGAAGACGGCCTAAATCCGCCCCTGGATTGGGTTTATATTTGTAATTGATTTATTCCAGAGAGATGTATACTCATGCCCCAGAAAGCGGCGTACCAAGAAATCGTAGGGGAAGTAAGCAAGGTTTGGTACCTGAACAGAAACGAAACGGTTAGCTGTGGACATCTTCTTTTCAATTTTGAAAAATGTCACTGCGACGCGGCACGTAAGTTCTAGAAATCAGCCTTTCAACGAGTACATTAAACTAATAAATAATGAAAATTAAAGAATAGGAGCTCTACTACATTTAAAGCTTTTCTCTTCAATGACGAGGTGTGAGGACAACAACAGATTTCGACCGGTATAGATTACATGAAGTTATAAGTCATTGCATCTTCATGTACGCGCATAAAACACAGTACGTAAAATCGTGTACATTATAGTTTCAAAATCGTATGTATGTAAATACAAGGAAGGCATTTCTGGTGTTGCTTGTTGAAAAGATATCCCAATTATTATTCTTTTTTAATTTTATTTATTTATTTATTTATTTATTTTATTTATTATTATCATTATTATTTTTTTACAAATTGTATTGAATCTTGCAGGATAGCCATTTATTTTGAGAGGAAAAAAGTACTACAATTCAACTAAATCTGAGTCTCCTAGTACTTTCTAAACTTTTTTGGCAGCGTTCAAAACAAAGTTAGTCCACGGACTAACTCAACCGAGGATTGAATATGGCGCGCACTTGACAATTGCGCGCCGTCCCTGCAGGGGCAGAGCAATTAAATCTTGGCAAGTGGGTTTCGCTATATTTCACCTCTCGGACTAGTTAGTTCGCTGATCAACTTGTTCTGTTCAGGTCTTTAGTGACTTATTTTGGCGAGTACCGTACAATGCCCGCCGTGCGCTTTGTTGTTTTAATGTTCTCGCCATTGTTCGGATGATTAAGTAATGGCTGCAACAGTACTAGTGGTGTAGCGGCTCTTATAAGATTTCAACAAAATATATTTGTCATCCTCTCCGAGTTTTCATTTATGGTATTTCTGCTCTTATTTCAGCTGAGTTCCCTATGTATTGGTCTTTTGAGAAGAACTTGAACTCCTACGCCAACAGGGCTTTTGCCGCCAACGAACCAGTGGGCTCCGTTGGTTTGCATGGGGATGGCTGTGTGGAATTCAACGGAACAGGTAGGGACAGTCTTGCTTTTTCATTGATTTATCTCGATACAATATGTTGATCAAATTATAAAGAAACATTTTAGCTGTTTGGTAATTAACTTATTAGTTTATTATTTGTTTATTATCTTTAAATATTTCCCGACGGACCTGATCGATATCGCTTCTGTTTTGTTCATAAGATTTTAAAAATCAATTGATATATGTTATGTGACCTTTAGCTGTCATTTTGATGATAACTACAGTTCGGTGTTTTGTTTCCAAGGCGGTCTACAAATCCCATACTTCAAGAACGGACGTAACAGGGAAAATTGGGTAGTTGGTGTTGTCTTCAACAGAGATGTGAGCCAAGACTCTGTCATTCTCTACAAGACCCCTTCTATTTTCATAAACGGTGATGTGATCTCTGCCTCTGCATCGGTCATGGATTACTTCGGCAACAAGACCACCCTGGAAGTCTCAGTCACCGTACGTTTCTTGGATATTTCATTTATTGATTTATGCTGATTTCAATCTTATTTTTATTTACAAGTTTTTTTTAGTTAGTTCATTTTTATCGATAAGTTACATTTGTTACGCATAAGTTTTAACGGAGCTTTGAACCCTGGCAATATAACCGGTATATTTATTTATTTATTAAATCTTTAGTAACACTTGTGTGAGTGGAGATTGAACATTCTCAAATGGATGTTTCCTGCATGAGTTAAACATGAACTGCGTAAATAAATAAATTGATAGATAAGTACTGTAGGCAAACGATTGTATAGAAAACCATAAAGTAGCACGCGAAGCATTATACAAGATGGGTTCTGGTGTTATATTGCAGGCACCTGGGGTAGGATTCCTGGCCGTGGTTCTGAGGTTTGACGGCACCACTCTTACCCTGAGCGTATATGATGAAAGCGGAAACTTATACCAGGACTCTGTTAATGCCCCAGGAGGTATGGAGTGTTTATATGAAACTTGATACTCAGTGTTTACACACACACGCACACACACACACACACACACACACACACACTCTGGTGTATAGATTGTGATCGTTTTTCCGTGTAGCTGAAGTCCCCAAAACAACGTAATTGCCGACTGCAAAAGTTGATAATTGTCCCGTTTTAGGCTTTGGTATGCTCTATCAACAACCACAGCGCTAACGACATTATGGTCGTCCAATTGATAATATGTTTACTTTCATCTGAATGGTAGAAATGAGTGATGACACTGGATCATAATCTACACTATAATAACATAATATATAGTGCAATGCCTTATTCCATGTATCCGAATCTCCCCAACTGGCACTTATAGTACAGGTGTAAGCGATTAATGTCACCTCAAAATTCAAGACCATCTTTGAGTATTTGAATACATATAGTTAAAAACAAACAAAGTAACACTTAGAGGCTGTTCTATATTTATTTTACCATAAGATTACAAAGATATATATATATATATATATATATATATATATATATATATATATGTATATATATATATATATATATATATATATATATATATATATATATATGATAGAGCCTCGTTAACAAAATTAACGTCATTTACACGTTAACAAAGTTTAGGTCATTTCAAAATAAATTTAATAATTGGTGAAATATGTCCCAAATCTCCAGCGGATGTTGACATTCAAATTCTTAACACATTATTCTGCGCGACTATCTGCAAGTTGTCCAATGCAGAGAAAAAAATTACTCTACATCTCCCATTTTACAATTTCGGCTAATTTTAAAAGAAATCAAAAATGTTTTGGAACTAAAATCGACCACATATATAATCTTCTATCTCTATTATTATTATTATTATTATTATTATTATTATTATTATTATTAAAGGTTGCATTCAAAGTTTCATGCCCGTCATACCATATTATTATTATTTCAGAAGCCGCCATTCCATGGGCTATCTTTTACCCCCCACAGGAGCCTCTATTCGTCGGTCACGTACCCGCCGATGCTAACCCACCACCAGGTCTTCCAGGAAGCTATTCTGGCAAAATCTGTATGGTGAGTAGCCTATTTTACATTATAGATAAACTTGTGGACCCAGATTTTTTGCCCACTTTTGCAGGGGGAGGGGGCATATATCAAAAGCATAACAGGCAATTGTTTATTATAAAATAGCGGACGAATTTTTGTTTTGTAGGTTCATGGGTGAATTCTTCACTTGGCCACCTACATCATAACAGATATGAGTAACCGATGTAAAGAAACCCAGAGTCCTGACTACAGAGAGCCCACCCTCCATTAGATTCATATAGGTTATCTTGATATGATTTATTGGGGCATAATCTAGGACTGAAGTAGCCTGTCTGTTAGGGGAAGTAGACTTCCTATCATAGGGGCTCTCTGGTATATGACACCGGTTAGACGTGACAGAGAGCCCCCTCCCACCCACCCCCCCCTCCCCCCC